TTTTTTAGTTTTTCTGAAACATTTTCACGTAGGAGTGTGACGCTTGCTACGCTACCAAAAAATGGTATGGATTTTGCGTATTTAACTCCTTTGTTTTTCCAATGATTAAATTTTAATTCGAAACAATACAAGTAATATATAAGTAATGCCAAAGGAACTAAAATTAAATAGTTTGTGAAAAATTCTTCTGACATTTTTAGATGCACCGTTTTGGCACTAAATATTTTACAATGTGCTCTTTTCTTTTATACTTCAACTAGTAATTGGTCTATTTTGCAATAAACATTATTATTATTCAAATGATACATAAGTTTGAAAATAAAATAGACAAATACGGTTTATATCAAGATTAAATAATTACTAGTTGGGTATTTATTCTAAGAAATAATGTATATATGTTATATATACACATTTATTTATGTATATATTCATTTACCTTGATTGTTTTGTAAAGATAATCGTATTTAATGATAATTTTCACAAAAATATTTTCAAACTAAAAAAAAACAAGTTTTTTTTTTATCTGAAGCATTTAATTATACCTAAAAATTAAATATACATATATGCATAAACAATAACCTATCCATTACAAAATATATTAAATAATACTTAATAATCTCTTATGCTAATATATTAATACATAAAACTCTTAGTCCATTATATTTTTATCAGACCTCCTCTTTAGTCTTAATCGAATTCCATTTTTGGCTCTTAAAACTAAATTTTTAGGGTTGTAGGTCAAAGGAATTTCAGTTTCTTCACATGGAACTACTTCGAAATCTTGTAGAATTGAAATCAAGCCCACTGCTGTTTGGAATTTTGCAAAACGCAATCCTATAAAAAAAATATGAATAATTATAAATGGAAATGCTTATTTATATATAAAAATAAACTCGGTAAAATGTTTAACTCAAATACTCAAATAGGTACTTATATGATTTTATTGTTACTCTAACAAGTCTGTATGGTTCTCAATTATTTACATTAGATACCTAAGTTCTAGCTATCAGATTATTTATTAGTTTTTTTTAAATATCACAATCTAAGTAGTTTCTTTGTTGTTTTTCATTTGAACAGCAAACATAATTGTAATTTTTAAAAATAACAATTATAATAAAGATCTGTCTCAGGTAGTTTGAAATTATGAGCTTTTAAGTGCAGTCCAGAGCTTTGATAAACATGTGACCATTTTTCGGTTATTGTGGTAAATTTTTATTATATGTAATTGTGAATAACATTTCTACATCACAGTAAAAATAATTACACAATTTCTCCAAGATTCCAAGAATTTAGACTATTTGTTAAATTAAGAATTTAAAATTTTCGACTTTGAGAGGTCCTCTTTTGCAACCCTACATTTTTGCAGTAAAGTTTGTTGCCTCTCAACGTTGATCATTTTTGAAATTTTTTTTCATGGTAGATATGATCAACATCAGTATCCCGTTGCGTTCTGGGACACCCCGTATATTGTAGTAACGCTTCGAATAGCTATATTCACATAAATATCATATTTTTAGATCTATGATTTGATATCACTACTGCTTGATATCAAGCTGGTCAATTTAAATAACATTTTATCATTCGAATAAAAAATATACAAATTGTTATGTAATCGTTCTAAAATCAAATTGAAAATATTAACGTTTTAGAGGTTTATGAACATTTAGACGTACCTCAAAAAATGGATTAGATGTGTGTATGTATATGTGCACGGATACAATTTTTCGTCGACGATTTTGGGCGTACGGAACAATCGATTTGAATTATTCAAAAAGTAATCGATTCCTATTGATAAGGAGATTAGTTTTTGGCAAAGGCAGGTACAGCCATTTAGAAGATACGGAGCAAAGAGTGCAGAAAATGTAAATCGTGTTTTTGACAGAACGGAGCATCCGATGTGAATGATCCAAAAACATTCAATTTGTAATGATGAAGAGAAGTGGTGGTTAGTTTTTGGTAAAGGCAGGTCCAGCCGTTTCGGAAATAAATGCTAAATGTGGGAAAAAAGGCAGTTTTTAAGACAACTATGTATCCAATTTCAATGGTTTAAAAATTTGTATTAACAAAACGATTGTTTTTGGGTTTTTTTAATTTTATTTTTTTTAATTTGAAAAAAAAAATTAATATCGAAAATAATTCTGATTTTATTTTTGATGCTAGCTAAAGTCTAAACATCACTTATGTAGTTTAAATAATAAATTTTAACTTCGCAATTCAGTTTATATATAATTCTTATAAATATTAGACAATGTCTTACATTTTAAATCCGATTAATTAAGTTATAAATAAACGTTGTAGTCCAATTCTTGAGCTGTTATATTTTGTCTATAAAATAAAAATAATGATGAATGTAACAGTATGTATAATGATATATTTCATTAAGGTACGGGAAGTTCCAGCAATTTTTTTCAAGGCACGATGCCATACACCATCATTTATTAATTTAGATGCCATTTTCACTTGAAGATGAAAACAAGAAATTGCTCTATGCTGCCCAGTGGCTTTATTTCATAAAACATATATAGGACAATCATAGGATTGCCTTTGTAGTTCAGGTAAAGAACTACAGCAACAACTTACAGAACTTTTAGTTCTGATTCCTATTCAAGAACTATCAAATAACAAAGAAAGAAAATATACGTGTCTATTAAGTGATTTCAATTCAGTTCTAATTAATTAGCATAAATTAAATGTAATGCACGTTGATTTAAACGCAAGTCACGTCATCAGTTCATGATTCATTGCAACAATCTTTATACAGGTGATGTATGCGAACTACCGAACAAAACAATGGGATTCTTTTTATCGTCGAAGTGTATATGTTTAATGTAATGTTATGATTAGTATTCACTTGGTGAAATAAAACAATGCGCTGATAACGTGCATTTAAACTTCCGACATCATTAGCTCATTTGCGATACATACTTGTCACTTGGGAATCACAAATCGAAACTGTTAGTATTTAGAGCATTTCATGTGAAATCGGAGTTAGTAATATGTCATATATAATAATATAGTCATATATCAATCAAGATAGCAAGCGGTAGTGATATTAATCTAGATCAAAATATGTTCCAAATGTTCCAATATTCCTAGTATATACGCCTAATATATACAAATTTCTAATCAATAATATTTTCTTTATGTATATCTAAATTCGGAAGCTTTTTTACTTTGAAATTTTTTTATTTAACTTTTTTGTGCGTTGGGTTTATATAGAAAGAATAAGCAGAGACTTCTAACAAAATATACATTATTTTCTAAATCTATTTGTTAAAATTAGTAAAAATAAAAATAAATAAAAATGTATATTTTGTTAGCAGTCTCTGCTTATTGTTACTATATAAACACAACACACGAAAAAGTTAAATAAAAAAATGTTTCAAGAAAAAAAAAGCTTTCCAATCTAGCATTGCTACAATAAGTTCAAATTTATCATCCCTATTATAAAAGGGACGGCTATTAAGTTGTCTTATAATAATTTTTTTTGTTAAAAACCACATAGTAAAGCTCTTAGTTCTGATTGCCAGTTAAGATTAAATAGGTATTAAAAAAACTAGTTTTAGGTTTCATTTAGCCTTGAGACAAGTTGCATGATCTTCCCGATACGTAATTGTAAAATTAAAGTAATTGACTTTTATCAACGAGAGTTAGAAGTAGCTATTTAGAAAAAATGTTTGAATATTTATTTCGAAAATAAAGGTTTCGCTTTCATTAAAAACGGTTTTTGATTGATATCTTTGAATCATACTTATAATATCTGCAAATGTATAAATTAGTTTAACACATTTTATTTTACCCATTTTGTGTTTCAAAAATGTATTTCAAGTTCAGGCGTAAACTGTAATCAGTAGTTAGATGCTAAACATGGACCTTGCAGATGCTTTGGCTTGGATTCTGATTAGAATCGCTCAAGCTCGAAATTCTAAAGTTTGATGATTTTTTATAAGTCAATTGCTTATCGTAGGCCTATTTTTATTATTTTTGACTACGAAATCAATCGTTATTCAAAGCCAAGTAGTAGTAATCTAAATTCAGAAAAATATTAAGAAAATAAAAAAATAACGATGTCAAATGCTACCAAATAAATGAAACATCGACTACATTAACTTTTCAAAATTGCCGAATTTGGTATTATCATTTTTTTTGCAACAAATATAATATATGTTAGAGATGTAAAGTTGGTTTTATTTGTTTGTGAACCCAATAGTTTTTTTTACAATTTGAATTTCTGCAAAAAAAGCAAAGGAATATGGTACAAAAATATATAGTATTTGTTTTACTGAATACACGGATTATAAATTAAAATTAATTATGCATGTATCTGTGAAAACAAATTAATTGATGAAGATAATAGTTAAAAATACTTATAATAACTTAAATTATTACTTAAAATATTAAGTAAAAGTTTAAAAATTGATGTTGATAGATTTTGAGATTTTTTTCTGAATGGAAGCTTGTAGGTGTACATTTATTTATTTATTTAAAATTTCTATTATTTATTTATCTAAAACGCATCTCAATCAATAAAATTAATCATCATTTCCATAATAATTACATATGGCCATTTACAGTCCCGATTTGCCTTGATACATTATACAAGAGTGCACATATTTTGGATATTTGGTGTCGAATACAGTAGTTATGACGTTCTTTCCATACTTTTGATTAATTTATTAAAAGTTATTATTTTTATTAAAATATTATACCGTACAAAAGTCGAAGAAAATTATATCACACATCATGTGCCCTGAGCCCTATGTAACTGTATGGTATAGTTGTAAACTGATTTCATTAAATATTACACCGTTTCTATTTAGTTTATTTTGTTAATTGCTATGTACATAAACTGCTCGAACAGAGATATGTTATGATTTATTTACTTAGCTCAACTAAATAAAAACTAATCTATTATCAAAGTAAATCACGTTACAAGTGAAGGAAACTAACGAGGGCAAAAAATTATCAGTGACTTTGGCAGTTTTGGAAAGATATATTTAGCTTTGTATATTAATATTTTAATTTGAAAAATTACCAAGATATGAATAAATTCAGAACAATTGTGACAATATATGCAATACATAACTTTCTCAAAGCATATTAGTGTGGCCACGTAAATCATAGCCCTTAATAATTCATTCATTTGTGGACAATTACTTTCTGTGTAAAATCGAACGATCTGCGTTGTTTACATTACAAATGATTTACTGATTGTACTAGTTACTTACAACTCTAAGATTAAAATGCTTTGTCCCAACCCACAGATTTAATTCATAAAATGTTGTCATTTTTTTTTTTAAATTTATCGATTGTGTCATTCAAAGAATGATACAAATTGACTTTCTGTTTAAGTTATCTATTTATAGCTTTTGGTGATGCACTCAAAAATATTTTATACATACATTTAAAATATTTACTGTAAGCAATATTATGAGCAGAAAATTTAAATAAATTTCATACTTACCTATACATATCCTCGGTCCTTCGCCAAACGGCAGATAGCAGTAAGGATGTCTAGATTCCTTGGCCTCCTTCGAAAACCGTTCTGGATCAAATAGTTCAGGACTCGGAAAATATTTTGGGTCATGATGTAAAGCATGCACTGGTATTATAATAGAATCACCCTTATTCAACGTTATTTTAGTATCAGGTATGGTGTACGGTATTTCACATTTTCTTATCAAATTTCCGGCAGGCGAATGCTTCCTCATTGTCTCACTGATAACTTGCTCTAGATATTCTAGTTGTAAAACACTTTCATAACTTAAATTTCCATCGTGTTGTTCCAGTACTTCATCTATTTCTTCGTGCACTCTTTTTTGAATACCGGGATTTAATGCTAGTTCATATAGGCAGAAGCTCATTGTGGTGGATGAAGTTTCAAATCCAGCAACAAAGAATACAAACATCTGGGCTGCTAGAAGGTTGTCATCCATTTTAAAGTTTAATTGTTTATCTTGGTTTATTCCTTGCAACTCTTGCTCCTTTAAATCCATTAGAATTTGTAAAAAATCAGCTCTCTTGACATTGTTCTTTGTACGGTAATCTAACATATCTTTTACTACTGTCAGGAAAAAATTCTCAACCTCTGGTGCTATAACTTTCATTTTCAAAAGCCTAAACAACGCAGGCGTTGTTGATCTAATAAATCTCTTTACAAACACCATAGGACTCGGTTCGAAGGCTTTCTTTCCCATTTTCCTAAATTCAGAATCAGGATCCTTAATCGAGTTTATGTTTATTCCAAAAACGCACGAACCGATCACTTGAGTCGTGAAATTGCCGCTCAAATCAAGCATTTCGAATATGTTTTGTTCGGCGGTGATTTCTTTCAAGTACGAGTTGAATTCTTTTCCGCATTCCGCCAATGATGCGAACATGGATTTCAGTTTCCCAGAAGTGAATGTTGGTGTCAATTTGTGGCGTAGATCTTTCCACTTTTGTCCTTCCATGTTGAATAAGTTTTCGGATAGTGGATCCAGTTTGTGGTTGCTCACGATTCCGCGGTTGGGAAAGTGTTGGAAATCTTTGACGAGTACTTGTTTAATTAATTCCGGGTCTCGTATGAGGAGTACGGGTTTTTTGGATTGGTAGACTCCTATGAAGGGTTCATCGGGGAAGAGGTTGTATAGCCTTTGCATTCCTTGACCGGTGGTGGAGCGCATCAGCATGATGTCTTTTACGTTTCCGAATATCGGTACTGGTTTCTCATGTTTGACTCCTTTTTGGGCCCAGTATTGAAAGTGCTTCTGCGTGTAGAAGTATAAAAAAGCGACGATGCCCAGTGGCAATATGAGTATGTATTCCAACATGATGCTATGTCTCCGAAGCGAGCTAGCCGACTGAATACTGAATTCGTGCAAGTGTGTGGGTCGCGCTCTGCGCGGGTTATGTCATAAATGACCGATGCAACCGATGGAACCGATATTGAGACTGCATAGTATGAGTAATCATCGTTCACAGATTAACATTGCGTGTGGTCCATCCAATTACGACGACTCTAAACATTGTTGTCAATGACACTATATACAAAATATAATATGTGTAATAACACATTCAGCATACTGCACAATTGGAACAATAATATTTGTAAACATATTCATTGCAACGACCTTCGGTAATTTTTCAAATGCCGTTTGCTTAGTATTCAATATAAATCATATCTGATTTTTTACAAAGAATTATAATTAATTAAAACTAGTGGGATGATGGCATCGTGCCTTAAGGCAAATTGCTGGAACATTTGGAATGTTTTCAAATAGATTATTATAAATTCTGTAACATTGTCTAATATATATAAGAATTATATAAACTGAATCACAAAGTCAAATATTTTTTATTTAAAGTATATAAGTGAGCTTTAAAACTTTAGCCAGAAATAAAATTAAAATCTGAATTATTTTCGATAGGGATCGTTCAAGTATTACGTAAGCAGATTTATTACAATTATTTACCCCCCTCCCTCTTCTTTGTCAGCAAAAGAAAGCAAAAGTTCTTACCCAAAATAAGCAAAACAAGCAAATCAATAACCTCCCCGCCCCCCTATAGTGCTTACGTAAATACGCCCCATACACAAAAAAAATTGAACTGATTTTTTTTTCCAAAAGTAATTGTCTTGTCAACACAAACAGAAAGTTTTTTGAATCATTCAATTCGGATGCTTATTGTCTCAAAAACTGCCATTTTTGTACATTTAGCTCTGTATCTTCGAAATGGCTGGGCCTGCCTCTTCTCCCATAACCTCTTCTCCCAATCATTACTAATTGAATGTTTTTAGATCATTCAAATCGGATGCTCCGTTCTCTCAAAAACCCGATTTATATTTTCTGCACTCTTTGCTCTTCATGTCCGTAATGGCTGGACCTGCCTTTGCCAAAAACTAATAAGCACATCTCCCTATCAACATGAATCGAATGTTTTTTGAACCATTCAAATCGGTTGATGTGTGCGCCCAAAAACGTGAACAAAAAATGCAGACACACAAAACACACACACAAACACAGCCATTTTTTCTGAGGTATGCCAAAATGTTCAGAAACCTTCAAAACGTCGAGAAATGCAAAAATTTTCAATTTCGATTTTCGGCCCATTACTATAACTATCCAACGGGAAGTTAATTAATAGCAATTAAGGTTTTACTAGTAATACTAAAAACAAAATTTAAATAATATTAATAACTATCAATTTTAAAATACATTTTTATTAAATAAAATTATGATTTGAATTATTTTAACAACAGTTTCAGCATTTTGGCATACTTTAGAAAAAATTGATCCGTTATTGTGTATGTGTGTGTGTATGTGCGTTCGGATACAAATTTTCGTCGACGATTTCGGGAACACGGTTCAACCGATTAGAATAATTCAAAAAAGATGTTGACTAGTTTTTGGATAAAGCAGGTCTAGCAGTTTTGAAGATATGGGGCAAAAAGTGCCAATAACGGTAATTCAGTATTTAAGACAGTACAATTTTAATAATTCAAAAAACATTTTACTTCTTTGACAAATAAAGAACTGATTAAATTTTTTCTTAAATATTTCTAAAAAAATTCAATTTTTAGCACGGGAAGTTACAGAAATTTGCCTAATTTATACGTTAATAAATTACTAAATTCTTTAAATTTACTCTTAACCATTTATAATACTACCGATTTGTTAACTATATTATTATATAAATAATTAAAATTGTTATAAAAATCATATAAACATCAATTTATTATTTTTAATAATTTCAGTAAATTATAAACCATTTATATTTCATTTTTTATCATTACATACTCATTACAGAAAACAAATTATAAATAATAAACATAACAAAAAATTGCTTATGATAAAGTGATACGTGTTCAGTATTCAAAATAGGTAGATGTTTTAAGATGCTATTGACAATTTTTTTTAAATATTCGTTGCGCAATTTTCTCAAAACTGAAATCTGGAAAATAAACATAATAGTGAAACAATCAACAACAGAATAAATTATGAAAATATAAAAAACTTAGAAAGAAAAAATAATATAATTTTTAATAGAAAGTTAGAAGTAGGAAAAGAGAAAAATAATTGGAACTGTCGAGAAAAAAATTATATGAAATTTTATTTGTAAGTATTTCATTAGCAAAATAATTTTTGATAACAAAATTGGCAAATTCAGAAAATGGTGGTGCTGGTGGTCTGCTCTAGTAGGAGCAGATTAAAAGGCTCATAGATAAAAAATAGGAAAGATAATCTAAATAAGATAAATTAGGATTGGAAAGATTTAATAGATTTAGTACCTTCCATAGTGAATATTTAGCCACTAATATTAATTATATAAACGCGCACTAATTATTAAAAATTAATTAATGTTTAGCATTCAGAGTATCGACGTTTTCATAGAAAGTATAAAATAATATATTTTTATGGATACTTCTTACATATGCATATATACAGTATTGGATGTGCAAAATTTATATTAATGTATGATAAATATATACAATATTTATGTAAATTATCAAATTTCCTAGAAAGGCTGCTCTACATGCTCTACACTATTGTATTTATAAGCCTTTAGAATTACAAATAATTTCACAAAATTTGTGTGATCAATAATAATGAAATTACATGGAAGTTGTATGTAAATACAAATAAAAAAAATAACAGATTTTTTAAAATTTGTAAAATGTTCCGGTCTCTCTACACATTTTACACTATTATTTTTCTTTATATTTTATCAGCATATAAAAATTGATTTAATATAGATAATGTATTAAATATTAGATATTCATTTCACAAAAAAGTTATGTGATAAAATTACATATGGTAAATCAAATTCAGTGAACATTATTAGAATAGCTCCAGACGAAACTGGTTTTTAAAACTGGATTCTATTTGTATAGTAAACCCTCTGACATTTTTCTATTTATATATGTAAAATTTTGTGGGTATGTAAATCACGATGAATTGTATTTCTTTTTCAATAATTATTAAAAAAAATCTGTAGCTAATTATTGACTCTACTTATGTTACAATTTAATATTCTTTAAAGTTTTAGTTTTGTTTTTTGTTTGGAATTTAGTTATATTTTATTTCTACTGCGCACTAAATTACTAAGCAATCTACAAATAGAAAATATGACGAGGAAAATATTTATCAATCTTAACGATTGAGTCACATACTAAGAACATAACAAATATAGTTATCTAATGTAAACACTTGTATGAATTCTTTGTTAAAATTTAATTTCATTAAGTGATATTACTTGTCAAAGATTTTTATCTTTAAAAACTCTTTGTGTACGCTCTTAAAAAATGAAAAACATATTTGCCAAATATTTTACTGAAAATAGTAATAGACGAGTAATAAACACGTATTAGTCTGAAAAAATTTGAAAATTTAATTTTACGAATGGACAATATTTGATTTTTTTTTATTTTATTTTTTTTTAATTAATATATTTGTTACAACTGCTAAATAATTAACATCTAGTAACAGTAATGAACAATTATATACATTTAATAAAAAAGAGCACAAAATAAAGGCTAGAATTTTCAATAAAATGATTATTGATGTTGATTTAATATAAAATGTATGTTGATTTAATATAAATTAAAAGCTAATAATAATAATAATAAAATTAATAAGTAAATAAATAAAATTTCTGAATAATATTTGGTAATGATTTTCTGTTTTATCACACTACCAATTTTAGTCAAATTTTATAAGTAGATATATATTTTTAGATTTCTAAAATAGGATAAGATATGCCATGGTTAATTCTTAGTACTTGATTCGTTGACAAATAAAAAATTTAGCACCATAAGTTCTCGAATTATTTAAATAAAATAATAATAAAATTTTTAGCATCATAAGTTCTCAAAATTATTAAATTATTTTTGACCAACATGTATATAGACACAGTTTGGAATATCTAAATATATTATTAAGATAAGAATTATAATGTTTTACTACTTATTTCTTACATTAAGATAATACTATCTTAATTACTTACTCATTTATATCATACATGTGAGCAACTGAGGATAATTTTAGTATAGTATTACAAATTACATATCGAATTTCTTTATTATATCTTATTTTTCTAATTAGTATAATTAACTTCCCGTAGAGTAGTTATAGTAATGAGCCAAAAATCGAAAATAAAATTGTCTGCATTTTGACGTTTTAAAGGTTTCTGAACGTTTTGGCATACCTCAGAAAAAATGGATGTGTGTGTGTGTATGTATGTATGGATACAATTTTTCGTCCACGTTTTCGGGCGCACGGATCAACCGATTTGAATGGTTGAAAAAACATTCGATTCCTATTGATAGGGAAATGTGCTGATTAGTTTTTAGCAAAGGCAGGTCCAGCCGTTACGAAGATACGGAGCAAAGAGTGCAGAAAATACAAATCGAGTTTCTGAGAGAATGGAATATCCGATTTGAATGATCTAAAAAGCATTCAATTTGTAATGAGTGGATATATACATAAATAGTGGATTCAATGTACAATAAAATTTATTGTTCCAAAAAATACACACAATATAGAGTAACTCGTCCTTTGGTAGAATTTGCAGTCTAAAATTCTAATTACTTAGCAATTATGTTATATAATAATTAGAATAATTATCTTATTATAATAACTAGAATGATTTTTGAATTTAACATTAATAATTTTAAATATTTATTCACAATATTTATTTTTTTGAACATGCTGAATGCAGAAATAAAGTTTGCTTCCTAAAAATGGAAAGATTAATTATTTTTGTGAGGGGGTTAATTTTAATATATCAACAAAACATTGACTTAATATTTTGTAAATTATATTTGGCGGTATTCATTTAAATATTTTTTTTTATTTTTGAAAAAGGTAATAATCATTT